CTAGGGAGTTCACTCAGAAAGAAGGAACCAACTACAATGATGTGTTCTCACCTGTTGTAAAGCATAGATCCATTAAAATGTTGTTAGCCATGGTGGTGAAGTTTGACCTAGAACTTGAACAAATGGATGTGAAAACAAACTTCTTGTATGGTGATCTAGATGAAACAATTCCGATGAGGCAAATTGAAGGGTATGCAGAAAAGGGAAAGAAGATTATGTGTGCAAGCTGAATAGGTTTTTGTATGGCTTGAAACAATCTCCTCGACAATGAAATAAGAGATTCAACAAGTTCACGACACACATTGGTTTCACTAGGAGCTAGTTTGACCACTGTGTTTATTTCAGATTCCGACCTGGAAATTCACTTATTGTTTTATTGCTTTATGTGGATGACATCCTCATAGCAAGCAACCATGTCGAAGATGTTATGAAGGTGAAGGATGAACTTGATAAGAAGTTCGACATGAAGGATTTGGGAGCTACCTCCAAAATTCTTGGGATTGACACCCGGAGAGATAGAAAACACTCGAGATTATGCTTATCTCAAAAGACATACCTGAAGAAGATACTAGACAAGTTTGGTATGTCGAACTCAAAGCATGTTCTAACACCGACTAATCCTTAGTACAAGCTAAGTATGACTCAAAATCCTAGTGATAAATTCGAAAGAGTCTATATGAATAACATTCCATATGCTAGTATAGTAGGTTCTTTGATGTATGTTATGGTTTGTACAAGTCCAGACATAGCATACAAAGTGATCCTTGTAAGCAGGTATATGGCCAATCATGGGAAGGAGCACTGGAAAGTATTAAAGTGGATTCTTAGGTACATCAATGGGTCTCTGAGCAGAGTTCTAATTTATGGTGGATTCTGTGGTGATGATAGCAAAGTCGAAATTGAAGGATTTATCGACTCTAATTATGCAGGTTGTATGGATTCCAGAAAATCTATTTTTGGATATGTGTTCATTATGTTCGACACAATAATTAGTTGGAAAGAAACACTTTAGAAGGTTGTTGCCTTATCAACCATTGAAGCAGAGTATATCGCCCTCATTGAAGCTGTGAAAAAGTATTATGACTTAAAGGTTTTGCTAATGAGCTAAAACTTCAAGGTCAAGTTATCACTGTTAAATGTGATAGTCAAAGTGCAATACACCTGTCGAAGAACTCATCATATCATGAGCGAACCAAACACATCAATGTGAGGCTGCACTTTGTCATAGAGATAATCAAGCGTGGAGATGTCCAAGTGCTTAAGGTTTCGACTGATGACAATGATACTGATATGATTACTAAAACATTTCCAAGTAGCAAGTTTTTCCATTGAATGCAGTTGATAAAGTTGCATGATGAAAACTATTTTGTTCCCTTGTCAGTGTAGAGTTTGTGCCAAGGCAGAGATTTGTGGTATTTGGATCAAACTCTAGTATCCACAAGGGTAGCTTCCCGGTTCGACATGAGTTGTGCATTATGTAGTCAAAGTCTGTTATATCTTGTTGTCGAAATATGTTAGCTTTGTGTTTAAGTTAGCATATCCAATTGAGTCTTTCTTGTAAATTCAATTGTTAAGTTAACTTGTAGCATAAGTTAACTTAGTAGTCTATAAATAAACTAGTTCTGTCAAGTTCTTGAGAGAGATTAATTGTTGGTATTCACTTGTAATCTTTGAATCCTTATTGAGTAAGTAAATAGTAAAATAATTTTAACAAATTCTTATTCTTCTTCTTCCTTATTTTCTATCTTTTGTAAAAACTAATACGGTTTCTTGTGTTTGTTCAAGAAATTCAATCTTTTTCTCATATTTTGGTTTGTTCTTGACGACATCAATTCAGAATATTTTATGGTTTTGTAGATGAAAATTTTTGTCTATACTATTTATTCATAAATGATTTTGTTTTGTTCATAAGTTTATAATTTGGTTTACATATTTTTTGTTGAAGTATGTTGATGTTTTAGTTAGGTATGTTGATAAAAGTTGTTGTTGTTGTATGATGTGTTTGTATAAGTATGTTAATATTTATGTTATTGTTTATGATATTGATAATGTTATTACTTGGACATTGCAACTATCATGTTGTTTATTCAATATCTCCTAGAAGATAAGTTTATTATATCATATGTGGTTTGAGTATTTTACCAATCCCCCATTTAATATATAACCTTTCGAATAGAATAGAAAATAATAATAATAAAAATTAAGTTATGTTAGAAAATAACTTACATTAATATATGTTTTACGTGTTTTCTTCAGCCCATTATCTGTATCTTGCTCTTTGACTGTTACAGTTTAGTTTGATGTTTCTAGTTCTTCAACCAACACTTGCTTTTTTACTAGTTCATTCTGCAAAGTTAACACATTGCAGAATGATATAGTAAAAAGGGAAGAATTGATTGAAGAACTACAAACATTAAACCAAATTCTAACAGTCATGAAACGAAATACGGATAGTGAATTGCATAAAGCTCGGAAAAAAATTATTAGTATAACTTGTTTTTCTAATATAAGTTAATTTGTCATATTATTAATTTCTAAATCAGATTGAAAGGTAATATGGTTATTGACAAGTTTTTGAAATAAGCATTCAACAAAAGTTATAATAAACTCAAGTGTATATATCACAACGGTTGCTAGTTATAACCGTGGTGAAATATTATACCCTAAGTCTTTAACTATAATTGTAACATTCAATCATAGTGAAATGTTAAAAACTTCTCAAATTCTGGCACTGGGTATTGAACCCCTGACCTCCACATTTTACTACGGTTATTTTTTACAACTGTAGTAATATGTAATGTGCTATTGAATTTTTACTATGATTTTCAACATGTGGTGGTAAAGCTAACACATACTACCATATCTTACGTTACTGCGGTTGATCAACCATGGTGGTATTCCTTTACGAACCGTGGTGAAAAGGATCTTTTTGTAGTAGAGCTCTACAATATGTTACACTAACTAGACCTAAGATTGCGTATTATGTCAATAAGGTTTGTCAGTTCATGGCTAATCCACTTGAAACTCATAGGAATGTAGTCATAAGAATGCTTAAATACCTGAGTGGTACTGCTACTCATGGTCGGGAACCTTCACCAGCTAATCCTCTTCAAAAATTATTAATGATTCAAATTGAACAGGTGATCTTGATGACAAAAGATCAAAATCAAATTTTTTTTTTACTTTGGTCATAACATAGTTGTTTGGGGCTCAAAGAAACAACCACTAAGGACACTATCAAGCACTAAAACAAAGTATCAAGGTCGGACACATCAGTTTCAAGATATTATGGCTTAAGTCTCTTCTATTTGCATATCAATTATTTTTCTCTAACTCTACAATTTGACAGTCTAAGTACAATTATATTGTCTCATAATCCGATACTCCATGCTAAAACTAACACATTAAACTTGATATTCACTTTATTTGTGAACGAGTAGTACTTAATAACAAACTCAACATTCAACATGTTACTAGTTCAACACAAATAACAAATGCATTCACAAAGCCTTTGCCAACTATTTTGTTTTAAGATTTGAGGATCAAAATCAAAGTTGTTTCTCTTAACCAACCATAAATTTGTGGGGGAGGATCAAAGATAGCCAAAAACAACTAACTGTTTTTGGAAAGTTTGTTTAGTTAGACAAACTAATTAGAGAATAACCAATCTCATGTAAAGTAATAAATTCATTCAATCAAATACAAGAGGATCTTGTGTTGATAGTCTCTCTTATGTCAAGTTCATTCAATAATAATAACTAAAACTCTTGCAACACTAATAATAATGGAGAGAATATAATGTATTCCCTACTTTTAGCTTTTTGCACATCCTTTCCTTGCACTTGACTCTAGTCACCATTTCAATATATTATTTTCATTAATTAGGTAATAAGTTGTTCTCGTTCCCCTGCTCAAAATAATCACTAACTCATACTTTTAATTTGGACAATGCTTGGAATGTTTAGAACAATCATTTCTACTGTTTACGCAATGTGCTCTTTTGAGAAAAACTACCGGAAATCAACTTTGGAACTTAAATTCGTTGCACATTTTATTCTTAATGATGTTAAATTTGATTTCAATGTTGCATATGATTATGCAACTGCCACCAATAATGACAACGACTTCAAATGTCCACACACTTGTGCTAAATAAAATTACCAAAAATCCATAAAGTAATAGAACATGACAGAACGGATAATTAAAAATTGAAGATACAAAACTAAAATTTCGATTCGTTTTTAGAAAAGTGAAGGTAGGGTGAAAATGCGGACTTTGCATCTCTAAAAATAAAAGTTGCAAAAGTTATGATTAATATCTACGTCTACAAATAAACGGAGCGAGACAGACATATTATAAAGTAAGGTCTAAAACCTTGTTTTATCTCGCAAAAAATCGAACTGTTTAGCGGAGGTATTCAATATTGAAAATTTGGGACTAACTTATTTGTGGAATAAACACAATTAATTTCTAAGAAGGGATCCAAGAATGAAAGAAGTATGAATATACTTATCTCCTTCAAATTTAATGAAATGGTACATTTGACCTTTAAACTACACCTAAAACACAAGGTGCAAATGGTAGAAACATCACTATTAACACATCAGTTACTAAATACACCACCCACCCTACCTACCACAAATAAACCTTTCCAATGTCGACATAACAACTTGCAACAATAATATGAAAAGTTTAGTTCCATCTCTCAACTTAATTTCTAATTCGCCACAATAATGAAAATTTTAAACCTTTTAGACTTACTATTTTTCCTCTTCGGTTACATATATGCTTTATTTGATTCATTTATAAGCAATAATATTAAACTTCCATTTCACGTTCTATTTTTGCTTACCCTTTAGAATTTAGATATGTCATTAATTAACCGTTATAGAATACAAACAAAATTATTTATAAAACAATAAAAAAAAAAAAAAAGCTTTATAAGTTATAAGTTATAACCACAAACTCTACCTTCTTCTATAACATTTTTTCAAGCAAAAATGAGTCATAGAAAATCTCATTCATATGGAAGCATACCCTTTTCTTGGGAGGACAAGCCAGGAATTTGTAAGACTCCAACAAACAAGGACTATCCTCTAAATATCATAAATCCAAAACCATTGACCAAATATTCACCTAGTAAGAACAAAAACATCCTAGAATTGCAACAAGACAAGAACAAGATTCCTATTCCTTTGCCTCCATGTCCAACACAACCTCCTCAAAGAAGCAGTTCCGGGAAGGGATTCAAATTACAACAAGACCCTTTTCTTGTGGCGTACAAGGAATGCACTAAAACTGAGAAAAGTTGCAAGTTTCAAAGCAAGAACAAAAAAGGTGTTGGGTTTAATAATTGTGTAAGTTTAAGGAGAGGCTATTGTTTTTTTTCATGTAGAAAGGCAATGGATGTAAAGGATGATAGTTATGTTAAACTCTCTGAGCTTCCTCGTCTTCCTAAACATAGAGATCGATCTCAAATGTTTGAAGATGTGCATCAACGAGGTTTTAACTATGATTCATGGTTGTGATATTTTTTATTTCGAAATTTGTTTTCTACTTTAGGAATTGTATTTAACTTTATTCTTGTGCTATGTTTGAATTAAACATATGAGTGAGAGATATGATGCCAATTATCATGGATGTGTTTTGTGTATCAAAAATAATATATTCTTCATTTATTTATTTATTCTTTTGGATTATTGCATTGTTAAGAGGGTAAGTAGATAGATAGTAGTTGATATTAAGTGAACAAATTATAATTGATAATCCTTATGGTGATGTTTGTGGAAAGTGCGGTTGATGCATTTGCAGTGCTTATCTTGTGTTGGATAATGAAGATTTTTGTTTGTGGTGCTTATTTTCTGAACCTAATTCCCTTAAATTTTATTTAATTAAATAAAAATGAAGATAACTCTTTGAGGCACAATTTGATTTGATATTGATTCACTATGTTATTGTGAGAGTTTAGTCTAATTCTCATCTAGTTTTTATCCAACTAACCAACTTTTCTAACTAAATACCTATACTCATCTTTCATCTATATATCTCAATATATCAAACTTTCAAACACTGTTTTCTTTTTGGTTACCCCTATTAATTTTTAGGGGAAGCACCAATAGCCCTAAACCTTTCCCTAATATTTTCGTTTTACAATTTTTAATTATTGTTTATTAGGATAATTATTAAAAGATTTCATAAGAAATTATTTAATAAAGAATTTAGTAAAAATAATTAATTAGATAATAAATAAAATATTACTCGAATATAACAATAATTCTATTAAATTTTTTTACACTATCGATGCAGTCCATCTACGTGACTTTCGGTTCCACATCGAAGGGTTGATAGTTGGTGTTGAGGCCTCTATTGGTTCTACCGAGGTAGTTGAGAAGAAGTTCTTGCAACATCGTCCGGATAAAGAATGTCTAAGAGTGAATCAAAATACTAATTTGTAGGTCATGTGTTCAAAATTTGATTGTGTTGTCGTAATGGATGCGTGATAGCATTCTTGGTCCGTTTATTCTTATATAATATGTTAATAGAAAAGTAGTAGATAAGTCGGACTTTCTTTCGACCATAGAGGAAAAGAGAAAGATTGAAATTGATTTCAAAATTAAAATTTTCTTAATCATGTCTTTAGATGATAATTAACTTTTTTATGTTGGAATTAAATTAATAACGATTAATCTAAACCCATAAGTTGTTGGCTTTTGTGGTTCTTCCTCAACCGGTACTCCTTAGGTCTCGAATTCTCTTCAGATGGGAAGAAGAGATAATTTACTTGTGGTACGGTATATTGGAGACCATAGCCTATATATAGCGTGATGGCCAATTGGGGTTCCCATTATTCTCAAATGGGCCATCCTAACATCCACTGATATTTGAGTCCATACTCAATTATTTAATTAAATAATTCATAAATAAAATCTAAATAGTTTTTTTAACATTATTTGATCACTTAATTGATAAAATAACTAATATAATAAATAAATATATTTGGCCACATAATTATTGAAATATTAATATATTACTATATTATTAAAATATTCCAACAATCCCCAACTTGGTCAATATATCTTAATGATTATATCATAATTCTTTAGGCGCACACCCGAATGCTATTTTTTTTAGATTTCAACTTTACAATCTAGTCCACCTCATACATCAATAATGGAATCACCGCAGCTGTCGTCACTAACGTATAACGTGACGGAACCCCGATGACCACCACATCAACGTACTTGATGACATAGATCAATATGGATGAGTGGCATGAAAATTTCATGCAATGTGATCTTTAAATCATGCATATTTTCAACTGGTCCTACTGGAGTCTTTAGTGAGATCAAACTGAAGTTTCTTAGGTGCAATTCAAAATTACAATATTACAATATTTTCACATAACAAAAAAACTTGATATTTTTATAACAATAATACCTCATAAGGTTTTATTTCTGCAGAAAGTTAAACATAACATAAAGTTTGTACCAAAATAAAACTAAAACATAGAACATATAAAAGTTAAGGAAAAAACTCCCACTAATTTAAGAAAATCTCAAAACCAAGACTCATATGAGCAACATGCCCATAAAAAGTCTCAGGTGCTAAACCTTTGGTTAGTGAATCAGCTAGCATTTAGTTTGTCCCTATATGTTCTATCAAAATTCGTTTCTCCTGAACTCTTTCTTTCACAACAAGATACTTGATATCGATAAATTTCGATTTTGTAGAACTCATATTGTTGTTGGAGTAGAACACATATGCACTATTGTCACAATAAACCTTCAAGGTCATTTCAATGCTCCCAACAATGTGTAGGCTTGTGACAAAGTTCCGCAGCTAAATTGCATGATTTGATGCCTCAAAGCAAGCCACAAACTCTGCTGCCATGGTGGAAGGATCCATTAAAGTCTGTTTGGAAGACTTCCAGCAAACGGCTCCTCCAGCCAAGAGAAAGATGTAACCAGATGTGGAACGTCTGCTATTCAGGCATCCAGTAAAATCTAATTCAGAATACCCAACGATCTCCAAGTTATCCGAATTTCGATAAATGAGCACGAAGTCTCTTATTCTCTTTAGGTAGCGCATTACACGTTTTACTGCTATCTAGTGCTGCATACCAGGGTTGCTTAGATATCTACCAAGAAATCCTACAATGAATGTTAAGTCAATATGGGTGCAAACTTGAGCATACATAAGACTTCCCACTGCTGAAGCATATGGAACCTTATGCATCCCTTGCTTTTCAAGATCCATAGTGGGGCACTGTTTGACACAAAAATTGTCTCCTTTAGCAAGAGGTATGTCTCCTGGTTTACTATCTCTCATGGAAAATATATCCAGAACTGTATCAATATAGCTCCTTTATGACAATCCTAAAATACCTCGAGAACGATCTCTAAGTATTTGAATTCCTAAGACAAAGGAAGCGTCCCCAAGATCTTTCATCTCAAATTTATTTGTGAGAAATCTCTTGGTTTCGTGTAATAAACCTATGTTGTTGTTTTCCAAAAGGATATCATCTACATATAGTACCAAGAAAATGAATTTACTCCCACTGAACTTTTGGTATACACAGTTATCAACCGGATTAGCCTCAAACCCAAATGAGGATATTACTTGATGAAATTTGTAATACCATTGACGAGAAGCCTATTTAAGTCCATAGATAGATTTCTTGAGTTTGCAAGCCATCGACTTTGGGTCATCTGACACAAAGTTTTCTGGTTGCACCATATATGTTGTCTCTTCAATGTTTCCATTTAGAAAATGCAATCTTTAGATCCATCTGATGTAATTCTAAATCAAAGTGAGCTACCAATGTCATCATGATCCTAAGAGATTCCTTCGAAGAAACTGGAGAGAAAGTCTCTTTATAATCAACTCCTTCCTTTTGAGTAAAGCCTTTTACGACAAGATGAGCTTTATATCTCTCAATGTTACCTTTTAAATCCCTTTTGGTTTTAAATATCCATTTACAACCAATGGGTTTCATTCCTTCAGGTAATTTAACGAGATCCCAAACATCATTATCAGCCATCAACTTCATCTCATCCTTTATGGGATCAACCCACTTAAGAGAGTTTGGACTTCACATAGCTTGACTAAAGTTGATAGGATCTTCCTCAGTCAAACCAACGCCATCCTCACGTTCCTGAAGAAATACAACATAATCATTTGAAATTGCACTCTTCCTTTCTCTAGTTGATCTTCTTAATGGTGGCTCTTGAGGTTGTTGAGTTTGAACTATAGGTGGTGCTTGAGGAAGAAACTCAGTATTGTCTTGTTCTTGAGGGATGTTAGGAATAACATCATTGTTTATTTCCGGATCTATTTCTAGAACAAAGATAGGTACAAAGACTTGATCATTGTGAGAAACAGTTTCTTCATCAAAGACAACACTCCTTATGCTTCCTTCCCCTCCAAACTCTACATCCTCAAGGAATCTTGCATTTCCCGTTTCAAAAATAGTTCTAGTGATAAGATTGTAAAATTTATACCCGTAAGAGCGTTCATCGTATCCAATAAAATAATAGGTAATTGTCTTTGCATCCAACTTACCTTCATGAGGCTTATAAGGCCTCACTTCAGCTGGACATCCCCAAATGTGCAAGTGTCTAATGCTGGGCTTTTTCTTAGTCCAGAGCTCATAAGGGGTCTTAGCTCCTACTTTACTAGGTACTCTATTAAGAATATAAACTGCGGTCTTTAATGCTTCTCCCCAAAATGATTCTGGAAGAGAAGAATGACTAATCATACTTCTTACCATGTTCTTAAGAGTCAGGTTTCATCGTTCTGCAACCCCATTCATGCTGGGTTTTCCTGGCATTGTGTATTGCAGAACAATTCCGCACTCATCAAGGAAAAACACAAAGGGTCTTGGGCGTTGTTCCCTTGATCCATCATAGCTACCATAGTATTCACCACCATGATCGAATTTGATAGCTTTTATTTTCTTTCCAAGTTGAAGTTTGACTTCATCTCTGAATGACTTGAACACGTCCAAAGATTAAGATTTCTCATGAATCAAATACAGGTAGCCATACCTCGAGCAATCATCTATGAACGTAATAAAATACCGTTGTCCATTCCAAGAAACTATGGGTAAAGGACCACATATATCAGTATGAATTAGTTCTAAGACATCCTTAGCTCTTTCAGTATGGAAATTCCTCTTGTTTGTCTGCTTACCCTTGATACACTGAATGCAGACTTGAAAGTCCGACAAATCAAGGGATCTAAGAATACCGTCTGACATAAGCCTCTGAATTCTTTGTTTAGATATATGTCCTAACCGCTTATGCCATAAAGTGGCAGAATTCTCATTTAATTTTTGTTTTGTACCATGTGACTCTATTTGTGTTATTTTGTTATAAGGACATTCAATATCAAGTATATAAAGATTATCATTCAAAGAACCGTAACCAACAACATTTGAATCATATAAGAGACTAAATTTATTATTTCCAAACGAACAAGTATAACCTAATTTGTCCAAAATAGAAATAGAAATTAAATTCCGTCTAAT